TGCTATTTCTGATTTCTTTTTTTCTTTAAATGATCACATATCCTATTGCTGTGTAGATGTGACTTAATTAGTTATAAGTATATCTTTCCCATCTTATGTATTATCTTCCCATGTTTGAATTAAAAAATAAAAGGCATCCAAATGTAATTTACGATGGAGAAACTTTGGCAATTTCCCACTACGTACGTGTCAATTCTGAAGTTCAGATATGTAATTAAATGGTGGGATTCTAACTGTGTTCCTTGGCCCTTGGCTGTTCACTTTGTTGGCTTCCTCTGTCCCTGTGGGTTCTGACCGTTGTGAGTCTTCAATTTGTTTTTGACGTTAATCAAACCTGTGGCTGCGGTTGGTTTTGAACTGTTACGAACAAAAGATTGCTAGCCACAAGTTCTTGTTGCTATTTCTGATTTCTATTTCTTTTTTTCTTCTTTAAATTGGTTTTTCGGTCGAAATCTTCAAATTAGTTGAGTAGGGTTCACATGACAGTCTTGTTGATTGGTTAGGGTTCACACCGATATTCTTTATTTTACTTTTGTCTTTTTGAGTGGATTCGTTTCGAAAATTTGGGTTTATCTTGTCAAATAAGGTTTGAAAACGAGACTTTGTTTAATTTGTCCATTCAACGTTGTAACACTGAAACGCAAATATTCCACAAAGAGACTTGAATTAGACAAAAAAAATCAAAAGGAGTTATTTTTCTATGCGTGTTTAAAGGAGAAAACTTAAAAGTACAAAAAAATTCATAAATGATGCCTGACGACCGAGCCCATTAGTAAGTTCATTGCGTGTTTAACTGCCACCTGGCATTTTAAAATCTAGTGTGTACATTATTTGATTTTCACGTAGTTGTTAAAATCTAGCGTGAATAGTTTTGTAATGAAAATATCAAAAATATGGTGTTTGGATATTTTCGATCGAGATAGATATTTATGGAATTGTGTAGAAAACAGTTTACTACATTTGGAATTATTCGAATTATTGAGAAAGAAAATAGCTGTCAATTCTGAAAGTTATAATTGCATGGTGGGATTCTAACTACGTCTGTCTGTGGATTGAAATATTCGCTGCTGATTGCGATTGGCTTGGGCCTCGCCTGAGTTCGCTTTGTCGGCTTCCTTGTTCCCGGTTGTTATGACCGTTGCGAGCCTTCAATTTGTTTTGGCGTCAATCAAATCTGTGGCTGCTTTTCAACTTGTCCGTGGTCCCTGGACTTTCCGCCTAATAAGAACAAAACATTACTAGCCACAAGTTTTTATTGCTATTTCTGATTTCTTTTTTTCTTTAAATGATCACATATCCTATTGCTGTGTAGATGTGACTTAATTAGTTATAAGCATATCTTTCCCATCTTATGTATTATCTTCCCATGTTTGAATTTTTTAATTAATCATTAATTTTTTGTTTTTTTTCTAGACTCAAGGTTCACTCGCCTATAATATTGTCATCTGTTTGAATAAAAGAATTGAAAATTATATAGAATTATAAAATGACAGAATTTATATTTCCATCATTTCAATTTCTCGCAATTAAAGATTTCAGTGTTTGGATTTATATATATTGAATTTTGCAAATAACATAATTTTGTAAATGGTACTATAAAAATTATGAAATGAAGTCTATTTTTGTGGAAATTAAACCATGTAAGGGCAAGGTAACACCATGTAAGGGCAGTGGCGGAGCTAGAGTCGAAATATTAGGGCAGTCAATAACTGAAAAAGATATGAAATTACATACCGATTTTCAAGTTTTATATAAAAACTTCAATGTAATTCACGAGAATTATTGGGGGAGCCACAGCCACCTCTAGCATATGTGTGGCTCCTCCCTTGTGTAAGGGACACCATGACAGGATATGTGGTCAGTCCGTATGAATACCCTTTGGCCATGAGTTGTTTATGGCTGACACTAGTATTGGTCATGGATGTATTCATGGCTTATATTGGGCTTTTCTAGTAGTGATTGACTTGTACGTATCAACTACATTTAAATGTCAATTATTTTTTGATTTCATGTTGAATGTGGGTTATGACCGCAATACAAAGTTCAAATTTGAATTAGTAATAAAAGATGCATAGAATAAGAATTTTTACTATCTTCCCATATTTATTTCAAAGGAAAAACAAGTATAAAAATTTGATATAAAAACATTTTGTAGAAAGACAAACTTAATGTTAGCTGTATAAAAATTTAAACAAATAAAAATAAATGAATAATGCTACTCTTACCATATTTGTATACTACTTTTTTATACAATCTTATGTGGCAGCTGAGGTGGACAACCACATTAATTAAAATTATTTAATATTTTCTTTTATTTTATGATTTATTCCCATATTTATTTTTGTAATTGCATTAATTGAAATACATTTTATTGATTTAATTGATGTGACATATAATATAAATGTGCTACATCATGTGGTATAGAATTGTGGACTAAAAATGTGATAAGTGTAGCTGTTTGGGCCAAAAATTGACACATCCAGCCCAAGGCTCGTCAGAGCAAACAAGGCTGATTTGGCCCTCACAGGCCCAACATAATAGGAAGAGAGAGTCCAGAAGAGGGAACAATCCCACGTGGCAGCCTCTGGGATAAAAAGTCAGCAATGGCAGCCTCTGGGATGAAAAAGTCAGCAATGGCGGAAGTCAGCAATGGCAACTGCCATAGAAGAAGTGATTGAAGGGTTCGTGACATCAAGAAGAACTGAAGATTAAATCCCCCTTATATATGTATATTCAGAGATTTTTTCTGTCTTTACAGAGAAGGTAATTCTCCCAAATAGATAAGCAAGTTACAAACTCAGAGAGGGATAAGCAGGAAAGCAGGGAGCTGTCCAGAAAAAGAATCAAACTAACCATCACGGGTAAAATATCACAAAGGGCTGCTGAAAAACAGGGAAGTGATCGCCTATCTGAGAGCCTATCTGCCAAAACTGAAGAAGAA